AAAGTGCTGGGATTACAGGCTTGAGCCACCGTGCCCGGCCAGGAGATTTCTTATTTTTCTTTCTATTTAATGCATTTTGTCAAGTCTGTATTGTTTATTTTTCTGATTTTTTCTTTTTTTTTTTTTGAGGCAGAGTCTTGCTCTGTTACCAGGCTGGAATGCAGTGGCACGATCTTGGCTCACTGCAATCACCGCCTCCCGAGTTCAAGTGATTCTCCTGTCTCAGCCTCCCGAGTAGCTGGGACTACAGGCGTGCACCACCATGCCCAGCTAATTTTTGTATTTTTAGTAGAGACGGGGTTTCATCATGTTGGCCAGGATGGTCTCTATCTCTTGACATTGTGATCCGCCCACCTCAGCCTCCCAAAGTGGTGGGGTTACAGGTGTGAGCCACTGCAGCCAGCCTATTTTTCTTTTTTTTTTTTTTTAAAACTGACCTATCCATATTTAGACTAAGAGTCTGTATCCCTGTGGCGTGCAGCTGCTGATGTCTTTACTCGGTTTTTCCTTATTATCATATTTTAACCTGGCTTCCTAGCTATCACCCCCTTGTCTGTAGAGCTTAGTCATTCGGGTAATGATTTGGAGAGCGGTTATACTCAAACCCCATGACCCCATAAGGCTTCCATCTCTGCTAATGGATCCGTGTGTAGATTGAAGAATGCATTCAAAATTAGAGGTAATTCTCCCATTTTTTTGGCTTTTAACTCTTAGCTGAGATTTCTTGGCTGTCTTGTAAACATAGATGGTTTCCCAGTCAGCCAAGGATGTGTGGCCTTCTATGGTTTTCTGATTGCCAGGATTTAGCCCTTAAATTTCTGATTGATCCACTGCTCACCCCAACTTAGACTACAAATCTAGGCTAACAGAACTTTGCTTTTCTCCATTGCCACTTGTAGGTGGCTTGCCATGGGTTCGCATCCCTACCCCCAGATTAAGTTTTCTCAATCTCAAAAGGTTGCACACTTTTTGGTTCTATTTCTATAGCAGTCTCAAAATGACAAAGCTGGAGAATAGGCTGGTAGTTAACCAGATCTAGGGAAGGAGGGGGAGTGTGAATATAAAGGGCAGCAGGAAATAGTCCTTTGGTGGTGACATGCAACAGTTTGGTATCTGATTGTGGTAACCTATAAATGAGAGAAAACTGTATACACATACAAATATACCAGTGTATGTAAATAACAATGAAAATGGAGTAAGATCTGTAGCCTAGTTATTGATATTATAGCAATGGCAGTTTTGTACATGAGACTCTACGTCCAGATTTTGCAACTTTCTATGATTTGATGAGTATTTCAAAGTATGAAATTTTTAAAAATCAATTTTAATTAATTTAGGGACAGGGCCTTTGTCACCCAGGATGGAGTGCAGTGATGCTGTCATAGCTGACTGTAGCCTCAAACTCCTGGGTTCAAGCTATCTTCCCACCTCACTCAGTCTCTGGAGTATCTGGGATTACAAGGTGTGCCATCACACCTGGCTAATTTTTTAATTTTTTTAGAGATGGGGGTCTTGCCATGTTGCCCAGGCTGATCTCAATATCCTGGGCTCAAGGAGTTCTCCCACCTTAGCCTCTCAAATAGCTGGGACTATAGCTGTGAGCCATTATACCTGGTAGGCCTATATTCTCTATTTCCTGCAATTCAGGTCCTCTTAAGCTTTTTCCTCCCCTCCCCCGCCAAAGAAATAAGGTCTCACTATATTGCCCAGGCTGGTCTCCAACTTCTGGGTTCAAGCAGCCCTCCTGCCTCTGCCTTCTGAAATGCTGGGGTTACAAGCGTGAGCCACTGCATCTGGCCAAGAGTCCCGTGTTTTAACACAACTGGAGCCTTCTGGTGCTATATAGCTGTGATTAGATTCCTCAATTACTTGATCCCCTATCCCTTTCATACTGTTCTGGATATACACGGTGATCCAAAAGTCTTTTGTCTCTTTCCAAAGGCATGCCATTTATCAGCAGAATAAAGAACACTTCCAGGATGAGTGTACTAAGCTTCTGGTTGGCAATATTGTTATCACCCGATATAACAATCGTACCTATCGTATTGATGATGTGGATTGGAATAAGACTCCAAAGGATAGCTTCACGATGTCTGATGGGAAAGAGATCACATTCTTAGAATACTACAGGTAGCAAGAAGAGACTGGGTTTGGGCCTCAGGGTGGGGGATGGATGTAATCCACGTTCTCCAGCAGGATATTGAGTTCTGCAATAGCATACCACTTGACACTTTCAAAATAATTGAATTGGTAATGTGTCTAAGATTGAATGAGTTTGTTTGTGGGATTTGACCTCAGTATGCTGCCGTTACAGCTTCAATTCTTGTAGTAATTTGGAAGTTACTATATAAATTAATCTCAGGACTTTGAATTGTATTTCTTTTTCTGATTTCATTAGAAGTCTGGAGAGATTAAATTCAAGTCATTAATCATTTGACTGCCATTTCATGTTTCTATTGCCTAAGGCCTTTAGCCTGATGTTAAATCTGAACCTTTAGCCTTATTTCTCCTATATTTAATTGCAACATAATTTGAGCCTACTTTTTCCGATTATAAATATATTATGATTGGTTTCTAGTGGGTCCTTGACAAGGGTGTTATGCAAATTGTATACCTCAGTCCTGGTTAAGAGACTCAGACTATGGTGCTCTAAGAGTAGTGATGCCGCTTCTGAAATTTTTTCCTGCGTGTACTCTGCTCTAGCAAAAATTATGGGATCACAATTAAGGAAGAGGACCAGCCACTGCTGATTCACAGGCCCAGTGAGAGACAGAATAATCATGGGATGGTGAGTAGGACTGTCAGACCTACACTTCCAGCTTAAGTTCTTCATCCTGTCAGCTGCTTTTAACCATCCTCATGGCTTTGTGGGAGCTGTGGAGTAGTGATCGTAGTGTGGTTGCGGAAAGCTGTGCAAGTGTTTGTCTGTCTCATCTAGCCAGAGGCACCCCTCACACTGGTAAGGTCTGCTTTAGAAGTCCTTACTAGGCAGAGCTAAATATCCACATAAGCTATTAGGTTAAAGGGTTAAGGAGAATTTCCTGTGAAGGAAGATTAAAACTCTGAATCCATGAGGAAAGGTATAGACATTTATTTATTTACTTATTTATGAGACAGAGTCTCACTGTGTTGCCCAGGCTGGAGTGCAGTGGCGCGATCTCAGCTCACTGCAAGCTCTGCCTCCTGGGTTCACATCATTCTCCTGCCTCAGCCTTCCGAGTAGCTGGGACTACAGGAGCCCGCCACCATGCCCAGCTGATTTTTTGTACTTTTAGTGGAGACGGCGTTTCACTGTGTTAGCCAGGATGGTCTTCATCTCCTGACCTCGTGATTCGCCTGTGTCGGCCTCCTAAAGTGCTGGGATTACAGGCGTGAGCCACCGCGCCTGGCCTAGACATTTATTTTAACAGGGCCAGAGGCTTAAGAAGGTGCCTTGTCACCTGACTCTCCTGTCTTAAATATGAAGACTGAAGACCAGTAGGATACAGTGAGACTGAGGCACACTGCTTAGCGATAGGATGCGTTGTCTTAGCATTGTCTTGAGGCCCAAGAAGGACAGATTTTTTTTTTTTTCTAGTTTTTACTCTCCTTTGACAGTTTCAATATTTTTCCTTTGACCTGATACAACAGGCTATATGTATAGTGACTGAGGGAGAAAGGATAAAATACTTCTAGCATTTCACTGCTTTCTCCTCCAGGATTTATACTCCTTAATGTGTTAGGTTTATCACTGCAGGAGCAGCCCTGGCCATGGCATGTCCTGTATGGGTCAGGGGAACATGAGCCTCTTGTACTGCCTTATTTTCCCTCTTTGTTCTCTCTTCAAAGCTGCTAAAAGGGGAAATCCTGCTGCTGCCCGAGCTTTCTTTTATGACTGGAATCCCAGAGAAGATGAAGAAGGACTTCAGAGCCATGAAGGTTGGAGTCCTGTGTTTTCAGCCGAAAATGCCCACTTTGTGAGGCAGCCTTTTGGTTAGCAGTTTGAGTTAGAACCGAGCCACGTTCCTACTCTGATGTTGGCTTGCATTGTAACCTGGGCCTGTCCATTCTTCTAGGCTCCAGTTTTCTCCTCTGTGAAACATGATACCTTCCCACACAAGATGTGAAAAAGCATATCAGAACTTCCTTTTGAAGGTCATTAGAATAGTAGAGGGACTGGATTATAACTCTGTCTTCATCCTCAGCAGTCAGCTGGATAATTGTAAACTGGTCATAGGACCATGACTGAGGTTCTTTGAGAGCTCTGAGTTATTGTAATGTTTCTAAAGACTTCAGTTTATTTGAAGGCATGGAGAAGATAATGAGGCAAAAAGCAAACAAGTCAGGAGATGAGGATAGAAGTTTATCTTGTGGGTCCCTGAGTGTCCTCGGGGTGTTGGTCTCAGCTCCTGTGGTCAGGGCTGAGTAGCAGAGATGGGTACAGCAGCTGGCACCTACGCGGCATGAGTCCAGACCCCAAGAACCAGCCCGCCACACTCTGTCTGGGGCTGTCCACACTTGAGCTTCTCTCTCCTGCCTCACTTTCCAGTCCTTGCTGTCTTAGACCCATATGCCACATAAAGTTTTTAGTAACATTGTAAAGAGCTTGAAGTGAAGCTCCAAATTCCTGTGAGAGATTTATTTCATGTTTACCTTCCAATTCTGCTTTCACCTACCTTGTAGGTCAAGGCCTTTTCCTTACAACTCCCAGTTGCCTGATGACTTTATGATCACAGAGCTGTATCTATATAGCCCTATAGACTTACTGACCCTAATGATTGCCTTAGAGGGAATAACAGCTGTGCAATTTGTTCATCTCAGAAGAATAAAGAAAGAACTCACTTATGTGATTCAGAATCTTCCTGCATACCTGTCAGATTTTACTCAACAATAAATATTTAGCAAGTACCTATTAATGAGTCAAACACCATGAGAAGTTCTGGGTAAAAAAGTGACTTCTGGTAACATTAAATGACTAGTATGGCATATAGTGTTAGACTGAATATGGTTTTCTATTTTGTTTGACTGGTTGCCTCGCCCATGGCATTTTTTCCACATTTTTTCCACATTTTTTCCCAAATTTTATTTCTTTTTCAATATTTGTTTTATTATACAGATGGGGTCTCGCTATGTTGCCCAGGCTGGTCTCAAATTCCCGGGCTCAAGTGATCTTCCCGCCTTGGCCTCCCAAAGTGCTGGGATTACAGGCATGAGCCAGTGTGCCAGGCCCCACGTTTTAAATAGGTATAATCAAGCCCCTTTGTTCCTGTTTCATAGGCTTTTTTAGGAATTTTAAAATCAAAACGTGGTTTGAGAAAGAAATAAAATCTATACATCACGAAAGAGAAAGCGCCAATGACGTTTAAAATTCTTTCATTATTCAATTTTTTTTTTCTTTTTTTTTTTGTGGAGTTAGTGTCTTGCTGTGTTGCCCAGGCTGGAGCGCAGTAGCACAATTGTGGCTCACTGCAGCCCCAATCTCTTGGGCTCAAGTGATCCTCCTGCCTCAGCCTCATGAGTAGCCAGGAGTACAGGACATGCACCACCATACCTGGCTAATTTTTTAAAGTTTTTTACAAAGACAGAGTCTTGCCCATGTTGCCCGTGTTGGTCTCAAACGCCTGGGCTCAAGCGATCCACCCACCTCATCCTCCCAGTCAATTTTTAACCTTATATCACATTCACATTCCTAAGAGAGATATTTAGTAAGTCCTTGAAGATATTTGAAAATTTCGGCCTACTTCAATGGGAAAGAGAAACATTTTAGACATACTGGGGTTTATTTAACTTCATGTTGGTGAAGTTATCTTTATTTTTATAAGTTATCTTTATTTTAATTCTGTTTAGGATTTGGCCCAGCAAATCAACCTGAGCCCCAAGCAACACCATAGTGCTTTGGAATGCTTGCTGCAGAGAATTGCAAAGAACGAGGCAGCCACCAATGAACTGATGCGTTGGGGGCTCCGTCTGCAAAAGGATGTACATAAGGTAAACCAGAAAATGTGATGGTATATGCACACGTACAGACACACATATGCAATATTTATGTGAATTTCCTTTTGTTGTCAGTATATTTTGAATGTTTGTCCATGTCATTTAATATTTTTCTAAGTTTTTCATTTTTTATTTTTTTTTGAGACAGAGTCTCACTCTATCACCCAGGCTGGAGTGCAATGGTGCAATCTCAGCTCACTGCAATCTCTGCCTCCTAGATTCAGGTGATTCTCCCACCTCAGCCTCCTGAGTAGCTGGGATTACAGGCGTTTGCCCCCATGCCTGGCTAATTTTTGTATTTTTTTGGTAAAGTCGGGGTTTCACCATATTGGCCAGGTTGGTCTCGAACTCCTGACCTCAAGCAATCTGCCTGCCACAGCCTGCCAAAGTCCTGGGATTACAGGTGTGAACCTCTGTGCCTGGTCATATTTTTCTAAGTATTTCTAATATCTGCCTGATACTTTTTATTAACGATTTTCTATCCTTTTACATTAAAAGTGAATTTAGTGTTTTTCTATTATAAATAATGATGCAGGGCAGGCATGCTGGCTCACATGTGTAATCCCAGCACTTTGGGAGGCCGAGGCGGATGGATCACCTTAGGTCAGGAGTTCGAGAAGAGCCTGGCCAACATGGTGAAACCTCATCTCTACTAAAAATAGCTGGGTGTGGTGGCACGCGCCTGTAAACCCAGCTACTGAGGAGGCTGAGGTAGGAGAATCTCTTGAACCCAGGAAGTGGAGATTGCAGTGAACCAAGATGGGGCCACTGCACTCTAACCTGGGAGACAGAAGGAGAATCCATCTCAAAAAAAATTGATTAATTTAAAAAAATGACGATGCAGTGTACATCCTTATAACTAAATCTTTGTATGTGTTATTAATTTTTTTGATACGGATTCCAAGTGATTCTCCTATCTCAGCCTCCAGAGTAGCTGGGATTACAGGTACACACCATGATGCCTGACTAATTTTTGTATTTTTAGCAGAGATGGAGTTTCACCATGTTGCCATGGCTGGTCTCTTGAGCTCCTGACCTCAAGTGATCCGCCCACCTTGGCCTCCCAAAGTGTTAAGATTACAGGTGTGAGCCACCACGCCAGCCCTTGTTTATTGTCTTTTTTCTTTTTCTTTTTTTTTTTTTTTAAGACGGGGTTTCACTCTTGTTGGCCAGGCTGGAGTGCAATGGCGTAATCTCGGCTCACTGTAGCCTCTGCCTCCCGGGTTCAAGCAATTCTCCTGCCTCAGCTTCCCAAGTAGCTGGGATTACAAGCACGTGCCACCAAGCCTGGCTAATTTTTGTATTTTTAGTAGAGACAGGGTTTCACCATCTTGGCCAGGCTGGTCTCGAACTCCTGAC